CATTTGGGATACGTTGTGAGCAGAAACAGCAATTATTCTTGCAAACACATTCAATAAAAGTCTTGCATAGAAAGCTAGCTCTCTATTGCCATCATTCCCCCACCTCAATAAAACTCTGGCTTCACACAAATAATATCAAAAGCTACCAAAGCCCTGAGTCCATTTTTTCCAACAGGATCCCATGAAATGTAATCCACTCCTAACACCCAGAGGACCAGAGACAGGCTCCCTTTGGTGCCAAGCCAGGCCACATGCTCATATCACAAACAGATTCAGTTTCCTTTGAATGTTCACCCTGGAACATTAATAGACTAATGATCAAGCACCAAATAAACGAGCTCTCTCTGGCAAGACATCATCTGTGCTGCTGAGCATTGTTACCAACATAAGGGTTAGCACAGCACTGACAACCTTTAATGTACATCCTGCAAAGCAGAAATGCATTGTATTTCCTAAAATCCCATACCAGAATTGTGAATTTCAGCTTGTAAATCTCCTTCCCTTGAATAATAGCAGCCATATTACATCATAGATATGCTGAAACACAGCTACTGATCGTCCACGTCCAAATACTGACCCTCTGCTCTTCTCAGTCCATTGCTGGGCGTGCTCAAAAGGAAGCTTTTCAGATGCTAAAGGAAACAGGCTTTTGAGGTAAGTGACAGCAGAACAGCTTTATACTGCCTAACAGGCTGTTCTCATCCCCAACCAGCCCCTATCAGTATGGATGAGAATCCCTAGAAGATTTTTCTATTGCATCAAAGTTCAAAGGGAACCTTGAAAGCCTGACTGCATTTTCAGACACAGGCTTCTGTCACTGCAACTTCAGAGGGGATCTGTGCTTCTGCTCCTCCCTCCACATGGCCACCATCTCAGTGCACGAGAACAATCCTTGAAATAAAACAAAGGATCGGGTTAAGTATTCCCAGAAGAAAAAAATATTTCCTTATTCCTGCCTGGAGAACACAGACTTCTAAAGAAAGCTGCCAGCCCTGACCTGGTTCATGTAAAGCGTGCTAATTACAGTGAAAATCTGAAGAAAGCAAGAGCAGGAGGGAGAGAGAGAGCTAGACTGCAGCTCACACAAATGACAGCTTGAGCAAACTTTTCCTGCTGCTATAAATAACGCCCTGCAGGGCTCAGCGTGCAGGATCCCAGCTCCCAGCACCTCACAGACCCCATAGCTTGGCCCCCAGCCCCAGAGGCAGCAGCAGCTCTGTTCGCATACATATCCACACTGCCTGCTGAAAGCCTCTCTTGTCTGCAGATTTTATGCATTTCTCTCTTCTGGCAACCCACTCCCCCATTATGCTGTCATTCTCTTACTCCTTTTCCTTTTTCAGGCTCCACATTCACTGTGGTTTCCCTTAATTGCACTGCTTTGCAGCTCTCCATCTCTTTCTCCACATTTTTGTTGCTAAGATGCCCTGGAGTACCCCAACAGGGCTCCTCCTTCCAGCTGCTTACAGCTGTTCTCTAGCCCCAAAGGCTTTGTCCATCAGGAACCTGAAGGAAATCACTGTGGAGCGCTGAGCAGCTCACTGCACACAGCTCCAGCTCTCTCCTGGTTTAGGAAATGAAGCCCCACTTTCAGGCTCAGGGGAAATGAAAGCGAGGCAATTTCCCTCCAGCCACTTCCTCCAGCTGGTAATGCAGATAAAGATGTCAAAGCCACATGCATGCAAGAGGCAGGAGAAAGCAATGACAGTGTGGGTCCCACACCTCTGCATCCAAGCAGACCAACAGCTTCCTCTTTGTCCTAAAAACTTGGCTTCCCAGTGTTTCCCCAGTGACACAAGAAGACACAACAAAGCTGGCATTGAATTCTGCCGTGCTCAAGTAGCTGAACTCCTCTTGAATCTCAGCTTTGGATGCATGTCTGAGAAGGCAATAGGTCTATTTCCATTTTACTTACGTAAGCAAGGGTGAATCAAGCCCAGGTTTCTCTGATCTTGTGTTACATTTAAGTCATAACCAAGTCATTTTTAACAGATGCATGTACATATCTTTATACGTACTTTCCTAACCCAGAGCTAAAAGCCCTTTTCTCTTCAGACAGAGCCTCCAACAGATCTGCTCCTAAAGCCCAGCCCTTCTGGTGACTGAGGCCTTCTGGCAGAACCACAGTGCTGACACCCTGGCCTCATGAGTACCCCCTTCCCAGTCACAGTGAGAGGAGAAGCAGAGAAATATTTAATGAGACAACTCAGTTCCATGTGGGCCCATGGGAATTTAACAAGGTTCAACAAGGCCAAGTGTAAAATGCTGCACTTGGGTTGGGGCAATCCCAGATGTGTGTGCAGACTGGGCAAAGAAGAACGTGAGAGCAGCCTGGAGAGAAGGACATGGGGGTCCTGGTGGACAGAACAGTGGATGTGAGCCAGCAGTGTCTATCTGCAGCCCAGAAGACCAGCTGTAGAAACTGTGGGTGTTCCAATCCCAGAGATGCCTAAGGCCAGGCTGGATGTGGCCCTGGGCAGCAGGGGCTGTGGCAGGATGGGTTTTAAGGTCCCCTCCAACCCAACCAGTCTGTGATTCTATGGTTCCTGTTGCCACAGAGCTTATGTAGACTTCTGTCCCTTTTTATCTCCAGGTTACAAACAAAAAAGAAGCAGTAGAGTCATGCTAGCCTCTATATACTGATATTTCTAATCCATAGGAAAGAGCCAAACGATTTGGGAATAGTAGAACATGACTGGTTCATCTGACAATTAATTCATCACTACAGAGCCTGGATTTGGAACAGCTCACTACCAACTTGTCCTCTGCTCCCCAAACCTGACAGCTCAGTGCTGCAGACAGCACAGCCACATAGTCCTGTCTTCAGGGAGGGTATCTCGTATTTGCTCAGAATGTGCCAAATTAGTGCTCCCATGTTTTTCAGATGTCTGTCTCCTTCACATACCATCCATCTGCACCTCTCTGCTCTACTTCATGCAGCTCTTGCATAAATCCACTGCCAGAGCACTTCCCAATTGACTCTCCTTGCACCTGGAAGAACATCACGCCGTGAGCTATTTTATTTGAGGATTTGAGGAGGGGGGAGCTGCAGCAGGAATACTCTGACAGAACATCCTTTGGCTTCAAGCAGTTGTACAGACATGAACTGCTCAACAAGGGCTACAATTGTGGCTAATAACAAGCTGTATGTACAAAAGGAAATCAGAAATAATTCTTCCCCATGCTCATATAGCACAGGAAGCATGGGCCAGCCATGCACAGCAGTGCACCAACCCTGGTGCTGCAGACTTAGGACTACTGTAGGAGGTACATAAAAGCAGCAGGACACTTGTCAGAACATAAATCAAAAGCAAGGTTACTAAAATATAGAGAAGCATGGAAATAAGATGAAAGGGATCAGAGATCACAAAAGAAGGACTGGGAAAGAAGCTAGGTTATCTTCTCCCTGCCAGAGAGAAGCAGATAGAATTTAGTTACAAGCTTCATCTAAATGTCATCAGTCTGGGGCCAATGAACTGCAAAAGAGAAAGGAATGAGATTGGCTACCTTATCTGTGAGCAAATAACACGAAGAGATATGTCAGACTACACAGCTCAGCCGCACAGCTCGCCTGGCTCACAGCTACACAGCCTACTGAAAAAACACATCCCAAGGCCACAGTTGGCTCCGTTGTGTTGTTCTTTTTCAATAACGTGCTCATCCTAAAGCTGTCACTGGAGTCCAGGTCACAATTCAACGAGGAAAATGTCATCTTCCCTGAAGAAAATCAGCAAGGTCATCCTCAAAACATCAGTAAATCAGCAGTTTTAGCAAAACAAAGGAAAGCAGCAACTTCACTTCTCCATCAATGATAAAGGATAGAAATTGATCCCTAATCTTCCTGCAGAACTTACCAGAAGAGAGGGGTTCATCGCTACAGAATGGGCAGGGCTATGACTTGAGCAGCTCTTTGAAAAAGGACGCATTCTCAAATTGATTTCTGCAAGAAGACCCTTTCTTGTAGTCTGGCAGATGATAATTCCAAATGCTAAATGAGTCTTCACACTCGAATTTATAACCCAAACAGGATTATAAGGGAAAAAAAAAAAGCTGTTTATTCAGATATATTCCAGGACAAGTGATTGGCTCTGAGCCAAGACAGAAAAAGACAGATTTAGACCATTAGACAAGAAAGTACTTTTTCCTCTCCTGCTGTAGGCAACATATCATTATCCCTGTAATTAAATTTAGTGCCTTTGTGGCAATGTCTTCTGCAGAATTTATTTAAGTGTGGACTTTCTTTCCCTCTCCTTTAACTACAGTACAATTAACCGTGAAGTGTTCACTCATTTCAAGCTTTTCAGTTGGGCATCAGAATTAAGTACCTTGGTGGGACTGCTGCAATCATCTTGGAATATAACATGAACACAAGACCTGTGGTTTGGCAACTTTCACCTTTGTTGAAAGTGAATTTTCAAAGTTTGAAAAAAAAAAGAAAAAAAAAAGAAAAAGCTTTTAGTTCACCTTTTCCAGTTACAGCACATGATTCAGATCCTCATCCTTGACGAGAGCTTGAAGGTCTCAAAACAGTATTATATGGCAGTTAACCCAAGTGATTAATACATAATCAAGCACCTAAGTATCAGGCAAAAGCCCAGCTCAGGTCTGAAATGTCCTGCATCACATAATCCTGTGTTACTTCATTCTTCAATTTCTGGCACTTAAATTCTGAATGCAGGCAAACAGTCAAGCCAAGTTCTTTTCTGGGCAACGTGGGAAAGCATTTCCAGACTTTCTGCACAGTAATTACAGGAGTTACGCCTGTGTTCTCGCAGAAATGTTTTGCTCAACTTAAACTCTGCACAGACCTCAGAGACCACCAAGCCTAGCCCACAGCACTGGCAAACCATGGCAGCTTTGACTCAAACTGAGATCTATGTATGACAGCACACAAGGACAACAACTGCAGAAGATCATCATCTTGTCAGATGGCTCCAATTCTTTTCCCAAAATAGGACTGTAATCACAAACTCTGAACGGGGGATCTCCTCAGCACTCACCAACAGATCACAGGACAACTGCAGCTGGATGCCAGGTATCTTCTCACAGTACTTCATGTTCCTTCCTCCAGTCAAATACCTGGGCTTCTGGCATCGGACTGCCAAATTGTGGTGATCTCAGGAGAACATGCTTGCTTCTCTTCAGTCTCTTTCCTCTGTTTAGCTGCAGGGAGCTATCAGGCAGCTCAGTTTTCCACACTCCTTTCTTTGAAACTTGTACTGAGGTGCAAAATACTGTAGTAACTTCACTGCATGGGGAAATCATCATCAGAACCAGTTAGTGATCAGTTTATGGTTGGAAGCAAGAGAATTAACAATTCATTTGTACATATTAGCGTCACTATTCATATGAACACCCAATTATTTTGTACATCTTACGATGCACAACATTCAAAACATTGAGTTGAGAGAGTCACACCAGTAGGCCAAAATAATCACTCTGGAACAAAACTACTGGTAGAATGATGCCATAAATAATTCACTGACAGCTCAATGATCTCTCCTGGCACCACTGAAACTGTGAGGATGTTCCAGCCACCAGAGTGAAGTTAATCTGGAGGAGGAAAAAGGACACCAGAATGACCCCAGCACCTTTCCACATGCACACATCAGTTTGCAACATGGGCAGCTACACATGCCTTCTCCCCTCTCCTTCCTCACCTCCCATTTTTTCCCCTAATTACCCAGGGAGAGAACAAACAGAAGAAAATAAGAAGCGTATGCATTTCCACATAGGAAAGAAGCAGAAGATTTGGTTTCTAAGATGTGTTAGGTTATAGGATAAACCTTCCAATACAATCGGTTGGATAGAGTTAGAAAACAGTAATGTACTCAGAAGTCAAAGAATCCAGAAATAAAACATCAGACAGGAGGAGGGAAGGAAAGAAGTCAATGACTGAGTCAGCAGCAGCCAGCCACCTTAACACAGCACCCAGGCATCAAGTTCTGCTCACACTGCCAGCAGGGCTGCGGTGACCCCTGTGCCATCTATCCCTGCCAGACACCAGAGCAGGTGCCACAAGCACACAGCCACCTCCAATTTTCCTTCAAGTACCTACAGCTTCAGGACATGTCAACTTTAGGGCAATCTGACAAGATTTGCTGCTGATTGTTGCAGTTAAGAACAGTATTTTTAGGGTGGGTTTTTCCTCCTTCCACCCAGAAGCTGAAGTCACTTTCTTTAAATAGCTCCAAGTCTTCAGTAGGTGCCCTTAGCATAAGGTTGCAGAGAAGGCAGAGCCATCCTTTAAATGAACCACTCAAAAGCTTTTCTGTACACATAACTTAACTCAAATTGCATTTTATTGTGCAGGTAAAACATAAAACATAAGGACTATAAGGAAATGATATCATTCCCATTGAGCACAGAGGAGTGAACACCCCTGCACTCCCCTGCAGCTCAGAGCCAGGTGTGAGGCACGCCGCTGCCTTTGCTCATGGGCCAAATCGTGTTGACTTTGCTATAGGTCAAAGAACCAGGATGTGCAGCTCAAAAATTATGCATGTGTGAAAGCAACATCAAAGTGCACTTTATAAGTGCAAAATGATGGGTTTTACTCACATGAAAGGATCCATTTTAATATCCAAACACCTTCTTTCCCTGAACCTTCAGCTACCGTGACAAACTGTAAAAGCCATCAAATTCCCTCTCTAGAAGAGCCATTGGTGCTGAGCAGGAGCCAGGAAGGCACTGCCCCCAGGCAGGTGCAGCCTTGCACTGAATTGAGCTGAAAAATAGCATGAGAGAAGACAGGAGCATGGCAAAGTCCTGCATTTTGAACAATAGGCAGCAGCTCAGTACAGTGGACACCGAACAGCCATCTCTGCCCTGAACGTGAGTTCTGCTTTAAATGGGGAGGAAGAAGTTGAATCAGAAGTATTTCATCTGGAATATCCATTCAGACCAGATTGCTAACCTTGCTTCCCGAGCACCACTCCTATGTGGGGTGCCTGAGCTCTCACCCAGCAGAAATATGCAGCCTTTCTGCTGCCCCCCGCATGCTAAAGGCACTGAGCTGCAGACTTAGGAAACAGCAGCATGGCAGGCTCGTGCATCTTGTTGTCCACCTTGTAATTAACTCTATGGCCACGAGCAGCGAGGCAGCCTTGAGGACACTGCACAAAATCCCATCTGTTCAGCAGAGAAATACTATGGTTAGGAGGAGGATGCATTATACTTGTTTCCCACTCCAATCAAAGATGCAATCTTTTCCCCACCTTTCTTGACAAATCCCCTTAGATTTGAGAACTCAAGCCCCTGCATATCCTATCTGTTCCCATAGGAACCTAACAGCCACAACTGCTTCCAACCTCATCTCTTCTCCCAGTAGCAGAAATATCAGATGAAGTCTTGGTAGCCTTGCTTCTCTGCAGCAGGAACATTATGCATATTTGAAGAAGAGCTAAAGATAACGCTTCTCTTCCACTCCTGCTCCCTCCAGAAAGGGAGGGTCACTGAGTCAAAGATCTTTCTCTTATCCTCCTCGATTATTTGGCACCTGCCATTTTCACCTCTTCAAAAACCTAAGAATTTAAACAAAAACTTCATTATCGAGCACCCACTTCAGGAAAACTCCTGTACAGAAGTAGTTGGGTGGGTGCAAGGCAACTAAGCAACTATCACTACCTTCACCTAAAGCACAAGGAAGCCAGTGGGCACTTTGTCGGAATGCAGGATCTCCTGGTTCTCTGGGCTGTGATGAGCAAGAGTCCCAGCATGCTGCCCTCCAACACTTCCCAGTGGGAGTCTGACACTTCCAGCAGCAGGAGACCAATCTGCAGCTCCTCCTGTCAAAGCAAAAGCTGTGAGCATGGACACGCTGGCACAACCAAGTAGTCCACACCAGGAAAAGGATCAGGGGGTTTGCTCACACTCCCCACCCAAAACGTTTAATATTTGAGGAAGGAAGTCAAGCGTGTTAGCCAAATGAAGACTGTTGAAAGTACTGAAAGTTCAACTTGCTCTTTCTTTAGTAGTGTTTAGCCCTCGTGGTTTAGACCAGAAGCTGAAGAGCTGTATTTTCTCATGCTCGCCAAAGGGAGTGTTCTGGCATAACACCAGGTAACTTCCAGTCGAACGGTTTGCAAAGCAAATCTATGTGAACATGGCAGTTTTCATGTCATAAATCAGATAACTTGAAGTGAAAAGGTTCCTGATTCCTTAGCCACACCCTCTTCTGCATTTGCACTCAAAAGAAATTCATTTCACGACCGCGACATACAGAGCAGCTACATGAAATGCAGTCAATCTGCAGGCAAAAGCAACAAGTACCATTTGTCCCCATTCTGCTTAACTCTGTTATGTTCCAAAAAGCATGCCTTCCCACCTACTGCTGGGATCACACAGGTGAGGTCTCATTCCTTGCACTCACAGTTAGGTGGGAAGCAAGACAAGCCTTCTGTCTTTTGCCATCTTCTGTTCAATTAAAACCCCATCCATTAAACTGATGTCAAGTCATCTTCTGTCTATAACAAATTAAGAGCTAACTAGAGAAGCAATTGGAAAAGCAGAAGTTTTCAGAGGATAAATATTATGGCATCTCGGGACATAAAGGCCATTGGCTTGTCCACTGCACATCATTAGTGTCTTAGAGGATAATGAGCTCAGAGAACAAGATATGCAGTGCTGCAAACTTCCACTTAAGCAACTCCATCTTCTCCCCTGCTCACCCAGGCAACCTGCCTCAGTCTGGGCAGCTAACAGAAGCACCCAGGCGATGTCATACAACTTACTTTATATGAACGTGCACACTCTCATTTCAGAGGATACAGTGAATTTCCTTACCCTCTTGACACAAGGAATATCTCTGAGAGACCAGTCATTAATAGCAGCCTCAGAACAGATCTGTTATTTCACCTCCCTGGTTCTGCAGCACAGCCTCAAAATACAGAACAACTTCTTATCAGGCTTCCATTAAGCGTCATGCCAGAAGTTTAAGTCCCACAAAGCCTCATTTCCTCTTCTTGCCCTCAGTGCTGAACACTTTGTTCATTAATCTCTGTCTCCACAAATGTCTGCTGTCTGAGACTTGCATTTAACGTCGCCCAACCACCCCAAGCTCCTCCATTTGCAGACCCACAGGCACACAAGGGTACAGGAGAATAAAGAAGAATAAAGAGCCAGACAAGCACTGGGTCAGATGAATGGCACACAGCAGCACGCTCAATTTACTGCTCTTTACTGCTTCCACTAGAAGGAAAAACACTATTGCTGAGGTAATACCATCTTCTTGGGTCCCGGTCAGAGTAGTTCATCACAAAATACACATGGTGCGTCCCAAAGAATAAAGATATTGAGCACTGGAACAGGCTGCACAGGGAGGTTGTGGGGTCTCCTTCTGCAGATGTTCAAGACCCACCTGGACACCTACTTGTGCGACCTGGTGTAGGGAACCTGCTTTGGCAGGGGGTTGGACTCGATGATCTCTGGAGGTCCCTTCCAATCCCTACGATTCCGTGATTCTGTGATATCACCAACCTCAGAGTTCCTAACGGGAGGCTTTCACAACATTCCAAGCAGCAAATAGTTGAGGAATCAGGATAATCAGTTTCTCACACTGCACAGTTTGTGCTGTTTTTTCCTTCAGTGCAACTCCAGCCACTCAGGGCCGGCACAAACGCACGTCCAGCAAACTGCACGCTTGGCTACAGAACTGCAGAAGCGTGCCTGCACATCTCTCCTTCCTCCAAATACCTGCTGCCCACCTCACAGAGGATTTTCAGGCTTCCCACCCACCCTTCCCTCAATGAGCTGACACACCTCCCTTCACTGCCACTAATTAAACATAGCTGACACTTCCTGCGCTTGCGCAGAGCTCATATGCCACACACTCCCAATTCACCAACTCTGTAAATAGGAGCAACGAGCTTCTGTGAGGCACTTGAGATACACTCACAACACCTTCTCAGCCACCCCTTCACAGGAGAATGAGCCCTCTATGGTTCCCAGCCCAAAAACGGCCTGCACTAATTCATTCCTCCACTTTCATCCAAAGTGAGAGCAAGGCCTCAAAGAATTGATAAATCCCCTTCTCCACCAGCAGAGAGCTGGAGTCCTATAAAAAGGAAGGTAAACAATTAACTAATCAACTACGTGCACCCAGCTAAGAGCTTTCTCTCAGCCTCTTCTAAGCTAGAGACAATCAGGAGGCATCCAGGGTAACTCTGCGTTTGTGAACGTCCCAGTTTCCTGCTGAGTTAAAACTGATGGTGGCCCCTGAGGTATTCTGAAAGGTTTGCTCTTAGAGAG